TATGCACATCGATGAGGTGCAAGGCCTGCGGGATGTACAGCTGGCCAAGGCGTTAGGCGTGTGTAGTTGAACACTCCACCTCGGATTGATGTTCTTGGTCAAGCCGAACATGCCCTAAGGCCCAGTTGCGCGGAATGGTGAAGGGATGCACATCGGTGTTCCTAGCTGCCGGCCAAACTGCGCAGAACAAACACGCTGCGCGTCCAGCTTGATTTTCACGAGTGCGAAGAGCCTTTGCGGTTCCATGTCGAAGGTGACCATGCAGGCTGCGTTCATTAGACTTTGTGAGAACTTTCAACTCAGACGAATGTGCGCATGGCGTTGCACTGGTTGGTGTTCGTCGCCAAGAAGATCACGTCAAATAGCTGGTGTCCGAAGACCCGCGCCACCCCAAACGACTATTGTCGCCATTGCGGTGCCCCCTCAGGCCTGACCTACGCAAAACTAGCATTTTTGACACGCGCCAAACTGTCACGCAATGAAATGTCCCAGCAGGTGTGTAAAGCTGTAGAAGAAAATCGTAACGCCCAGGGGGCCGATCCATGGCTGTGTCTACCTGAAAATGCGTAAGCAGGCTGGTGTGGTAGTAGTTGTAGTAGTAGTAGTAGTAGTAGTAGTAGTAGTAGTAGGAGTAGTCTTCGTCGTGGTGGTAGTAGTAGTAGTAGTAGTAGTAGTAGTAGTAGTAGTAGTATAATAATAAGTAGAACAAACATGTGAAACGCGCAACTGGCGTTAAACAGACTGCGCAACTGGCGCAGCGCAAACTGCGTGAAACGGGGCGCATTTTACCTTAGAGGCCATCTGTGTACAAGCGCCTGTTACACTGTTCAGAAGGCGCCTTATCAAGCGCTTGAGTTTCTGGCTGTCAAACTGCGGCTTCTAGTGATCTTGAGAACCCTTAGGAAACGTCTGGCCTTGTGTGCGCTAGCCATTGTGTTTCGCCATGTGGAGTTTGTGTTGCGCGCGGTCAAGCCACGCCTCGCCTTCTGCACGCGCCTTGGGCCTGTGACACTCCTGGCGCTAGCGCTGGGTTGCATGTTGTCATGCCTCGTTCTTGCTTGTGCGACGTCGATGCGGTTGTTCTTCAGACTGACATCGACGTAGCCGCCGCTGTGCGTAATGTTTCTGCCAGCGAAGCGCATTGTTGGTCCTCGCCTCCTGTTGTGCCCCGGCACAAAGTGTGCCGATGATGCTTTGTACTCCTACGAATAGGAGGTCGTCAACGTAGATCATGATGAAGACCAAACTGACCAAACAGTCCTTTCATCTGTGGACAGCGCTTGCAGCGCGCATCTCACAAGTTCAAGGGTGCGCTATGCGGTCTTGCCATTGTTTGGGCGACCACCGTAAATGGCGTTGTTCAGCCGCCACACGTGTCTGCACGTAACAAAGGCGCACTTGCAAAGGATAGTTCACGTCTATAGCGACTCTGTGTCGCGTGTTGCTCTAATTCGCGCTCGTACTTCATGTCGCATTCTTGGTTTGAGTGAGCCATGTTGACTCTGCGGTGTTTGCTTGTTGCGGGCGCGTCAGCGGGCGACCATCAAGCTCTATAAGGACTCGTTGGTCTTTCATCTGCTGCGTCGACTTCTTCTTCATTCCTTGCGCTACTTTTGCCTTCTGCGTCATGTACGCTCTGAGTGTGTTCTGCATCTTCATTTGAGGCGGTCTCGTGTTGTTTGCCATCTCTTGGACTCATTTTGCTGTTTTGTCGGTCTCTTGTTCCGGGTTGCGATTGTCTTTCTGGTGCGACACGCTGTTGCTCGCTTCCTTCTGCTACGGCGTCGCCCCTTTCTCTGGATCCTTCTGAAGTGTCGGCGATGTCGCCACTCTGTTGTCTTCTTCTGCTTCTTCTGCTGGTCATCCGCACGCTGTCTCTTGCCGTCTGCTGTTGCGCTTGTTGCTGCACCCCCTTTGCGGCGTAGGCGCTTTGCTCGCAGGTGAAACTGTGTAGGCAGGGCTGACGCGGGTGTCTTCCATGGACCTGTGTACGCACAGTCCAAAAGTTGCTGGTTGCGACGCGCGCGTGACCTGCCTTCTGGTCGCCCGTGCTCTATATCCGTGCCCTTGCCAAGCCAGATTCCAATGTAAAACAGTTTTGGAACTTGTTTGACTGTGGGGGGCGTGTGTTGCGCCGTCTCACCAAACTCGCAAAGCGGCGTGCGTGCGTTGCTCTCTACCCCGTCTGTTGAAGTAGCTTGTTGTTCATGACGCACGCGATCCAGGGCGTGAGTGGATGTTCCATTGCAATGTCTCTGCTGCGGCTCGCCTGCCTTGTGATTCGAGTGTTCTAAGTTGCCCAAACAGTGTTCTGCGTGCTTGCGTATCTCCGCCTTGCGACTGTGACCTGCGTGCTCCTGACCTCCTTGCGGCGACGTCGTCGATTCTTGACACAGTCGACGTCCAACCCGGGGTGTTCCGTGGTCACACACCTCGCCAAGAAAAGACGCGCGTCGACTACGCAGTCACACATCTACGGCACTTCCGGCGGAAGAACAACCCACGCAAATCTACAATCCGGTCAGGAGGATTTCCTGACAGTCCAAAGTCCAGCAGTAGGGTTGGAAGTTTGCTGCGCAGTTGCGGGCGACTGGCTTGCACGCACATTCCTGTGGTGTGTAGAGTTGCGCTGTCCCCCGCGGCGGTTGTTGGGCGCTTGTACAATTCTTGCGTTTGCGCCTTGTTTGTTGCTCCTCATCATCTAATTCTAGTTGCGGCGTCGCGTTCTTCCCCAACTGGTTGCGCCTTTGCTCCTCTTCGAATCGTAAGCCGCTTGATGCCCAGCTACGCCTGCGGTGCATCCTGTGTTGTTGGCGGTCTCTGCTGATTCTACGCGTGGGTATTGAACCACTTGCGGTGTAATAACCTTCTGCAGCGCACTTTTCAGCCTTGAGGCGTTGGGGCGTTTTCCTTTGCCCTCGCGATTGCCTTGTTTTGCGTCGCGCCGATGTCCATGGGCGCTGGTCCTTGGCTACTGTTGCTGCTTCGCGTCAGTCCTTACAACTTGAACGATCCTGCATGCAGTTGTGAGTGCTGCTGTAGCGCTCCTTTTGTCTCGTTGAGTTGTGAGTTTCCACAGCATCTGGTAGTAAGTTAGAACCCTCATGTTGTAAAGCTCTGCTTGAACTTCTGTTTGTCGAGCTGTACAAAGTCGGATGGAGTATCTGAGGCGTGGCATAATTTGTCTGCGCGCTATGGACGCTGGCCCATTGCACGCTCTCACCAACATGTAGCGTGGGTTGTTGCTCCGTTTCACCCATTGCTCTGCCACTGCTTGTAAAGGCGCTGCTGGTTCCAGTTGGTCTGTGACTTGTAAGTGTAGTTGCCCTGACTGTCTCAGCAGCAACTTGCGCGCGGGATCTTGTAGTCCAAGGTGCGCTGTCACCTCGCTCTTCCACTTCTATTCTTCAAACGTCTGCGCACGCCTGTGAATCGCGCTGGCGCTACCTTGCACTTGCGTGTTCTGTTGCTGCCGCTGTTGCTGTTGAGCCGCCTTTCCTTGCGCGGTGTGTGGAAAGGCCACCAGATCTTTCCCAGGCGTGATGATGTTGTCGTTCACTGCTCCGCTATCATGCTAAAATGGAATGAACTGTTTGACCTGTTGACCTGACGTGTAGGACCTAAAAGCGCATCAGCTCGGCAAAGTTGCTTTCCTAGATGGGCATCGACGCACTGAGGCTCAAGGCATGCGGGATGTACAACTCGCCAAGGTGTTAGGTGTGTGTGTGTGTAGTTCAACAAAGTACATATGTTAGCGGGGTTCTCCAATACAACTTTTCCTAAGAACCCTTCAAGCGACGGCCCTTCCAATCGCAACCACTCCAAAGCCGATCGCGGAGCAAACTCCGTAACCAAGTTCGCGGCTCCAAATGAGGGGTCTACACCTGCTCCAAGTGGACGGCCCCCATACATATAGAATATATACATAGATGTATATATATATATATGTATATGTGGGATCTGGCTGCGACGTTAAACATTCGTGCTTGCGCTGCTTTACACTCGTTGGGAGCATGGCGCTGCCTGCTTGGCTTCGAACAGAAGGAGCAAGAGCTAGCAAATATGAAGCTCAGCGTCGGGGCGCCGCGGCTGATTGTGCTTAGCAACCTAAATCCGGCCACCGACCGTGATCGGGCCAAAGTCCCAGCTCCGATTTGACTTGACGCGGCCAAAACGCGCTTTTCTTTGCTTTGCGGCGAAACGGTTAAACAACATGTTCTTAGGAGCGTTTTTGTGCGGACGCATGACAGTCGAGGGTTCTGGTAGCCGGTTGTTTCGCGTCAGCGTGTACATTACTTTATGGCCTCTGACCAGGTCTTTGACTCCAAGCCCCTGGTACCACTGTGACTCTTGTACTGGTTTGCACGGGCAAGCAACAAAGGTTGCTCATGAGTGTCTCTGTAGGCATGCTGGGGCTCTGAGCCAAGTGTAGCTCAGGTCAGAAATGCCCGTGCAAAACCTGCCTGGCCTCGACCGGAGAAGTCCCCAGGCACATGGCTGAGCCGGCTGATGAGAAAGCGCCGCGTTCGTTTCGAGTCGGATTCTTGAACAGGGGTCGGCACGGCGGAAACTCCGACACATTCAGCAAGATTCATACAGCGCCAATCCCTTTCAGCAACATGAAGCCAGCTTAACATTAACCATGTAACATTGCTTGGCAAGTTGTCACAAGTCTAACTCCTCGACTTGTTTCAAAAGGTCTTCTCTTAGATAGGTGAGCATTGGTTTCGTGTGATCAGAGTCGGCCAACTTTACCAGCGACGTCATCAAGGCTAGAGCATATCGACATCTCAAAGGTTTACGGATTGCTGCAGAACTAATGGAACCAGCCACAGGTTCGGAGCAACCGGCACGCGGTCTCAAGGGACGGGATCAACAGCTTAGAGAGCCTTTTGCTACGGGTTAATGATCAACGCCCTAAAAACCGGAAGTCCGAACGACTCCTTCACGATTGCTGCTTTTGGGGGTGTGATCGTCTCATTATTCCCCCTCCATCAAGCCTTTCGGGGCAGCTCTGCGGCGAAGCGGTAGGTCTCTGCAAAGCTCTGGCCGTCCAGGGCGTAGACCTCCGAGACTGAAAAACAAATGCAGCGGAACTGAGCCCCAGAAAACAGGGTGCGCAACTCGTCAAGTGTTGCTCATTGAAACAAAGCCAGCAAAGCGGCGCCTCTCGATCAACGGACTCTTCCTGAACAACCTCGACAGCCGGGGCAGGACAATGAAGAAAAAGGTAGTGCGGCTCCCTCCGCTGGCCGTGTGAAAAAAGCAAACTAGCAAGGAAAAATCAGCACGCTACTAGGCTACTGTTCTTCCAAACCTGACCGGCAAATGGCAAGTCCTGGGATGGGCCATGCTCACCAAGAAAGCATGACGTTGACCAACCGCAGCCGCTGACATTGGCTTCTGGCTTGAGGTGGGATCGCGGGAGCAAAAGAGAGCTTGAGGATCTGGCCATGCTGGTGTCATCCAGGACAATTGTCTTGGTGACGACCTGGGAGAACCGAACAATCGCCACTGTCAAGATCAACATGCTTCGCGGTGACATTGCTGTCCAGCATGATTGGCATGATTGTGGGCAAAATGAGCCTCATTCATACCAGCATTGTGGTGCTCGTGAAGCACGGAAAGATCAGCCACAAAAAAAAAAGAAAGGAGTATCCACCAAGGCCGCCAAGCCCAGGATTGGCTAACTAAAACTCGTGGCTGTCGCTAATTGGGGACAAAGAGATGGCACTATCCTACTGTTACCCGTGATTACTGAGGGATCACTTCAGGCGCTGAGGAAGGTCCAGCGCTCAAGACTCAAATCAAACAAGCCTCGCCCGCCCAAATGAAAACAGCAAATCGATACCCTCTGCCGCCTCACCGTTGATGATGGTGAGCACCTCCTCGCCCCTCCTGACACATTTACAAACTTACATCTTGGCCATCACGATCCTACTGGCCTAGCTGGTCGTGCCAGCCGCCGCCCGGCCCGCCGCATCTTCATGCCCCGGAGCCTGCGGCATACATTCGAAGGCCATAATCTCAAGGCCAGCACAAAACACTTGGAACATCAAAACATATTGAGCATGGCTAGTGTGCACTTTTTGCAGTCGAATCACCACAGTAATCTTGAATGCTGTGCTTGAGCAAATCAAAAAATGAAATACCTTCAAGTGACCAGCTTTCATACAATGCCTAGCCCTCATTGAGGGCCGCAAACCTGTCATGCAAAGCTCAGCTTTGGGCGCCTCATTAGCGGCAAGAAATGGTCCCGCATCTCCTCCTGGCACCAGCTAGGTCGCAGCATTGCTTGGAGCATCAGAAAAGATTGAACAACGAGGATAACAGTCAATGAAAGCAACTTCCGTGTCTGTTGCAAAAGCATGTCTCGCCTGCGTGCGAACACCAGGGCCTTGAAATTGACCATCGTTGTAGACAGCCTCAGAAAAGCGTTCATGTGCGTGAAAAGTACACGAGAGGGATAGATCATTTAAATCTTCGGCACAATGCATTCCAAAAGTCCGTCGAACCCCCAAGCACAAGCGCGAAACTGGGACCATGTGGTTGCTTTCTGCTTGCAACCTCCAACTCCTCAAACACATCACTGGCCCTGACTTCCTAACATGGCCAAAACAAAACGGCAGCCAACATTGAGAGCGGCACAGCATTGCGGCTGAGCCAGATCTGGCAGGAGTGTGCATAGCTTTCTCCCGCTCTCTCGGGCTCGCTGTCTGGCTTCGACACTGCAATCTAGCATGCAGGAGTAAGAAGACACACTGCAATCAAATATCAATGAAGACTGGCGACCATGGGGCGAGGTATTGGCTGCAAACAGCAGCACCTGGCCCTCCATTCTTCTGGCAGTGCTGGTCTTTGAGGTTCGCTTACGAGTTGGTACTGATGAAACTTGTCATTGCCACCACGCTGGGATCCGAAGAACGCGCGGGTTTAATGAGAGCATAGCCCGCTTCATTTGGCCGAAAGCGCCGACGAGGTGCGAATGGGGGCGCCCGATGGCACGGATTTGGGGCGAAGATGTAGATCCCAACGAAGGTTTCGGCGTGACTCAATAAGCACAAAACTGCGGATTGGGGCCTGAAACGACGATTCCACATTGCCAAATTGCCAACATGTTCTACTAAGTTAAATCCATTTCGTTTGTTAAAACCTCTTCTACATCACAGTTTAAACCCGAAATCGAAGCTTTCCTAACTTGTGTACCTCATAGATGCGCATATGTAGGGGTGCACTGAACAGCTCCGGCGCAAGCACCTCATTGCAGCCGGGGTAGTCGGTGACCAGGAAGCAGCCGGGCCTGGCTCAACCTTCTTATTGCAATACATTGCAATATGCTGCAATTGGGGTCGATGAATCTTTCAGCCGAGTCAACGAGCTCCCATACTCGGAGCTCTGTGACAGCACGGAAGCTTGAATGCTCTTCCCCAAGCGGCAGCGCAGAGTGCAGCCAAAGCACTTGATGGTGATCGGAATCGGGCTGAAGGCGGTGTAAAACTTGCCACCGGGCAAAAAGCTCATGTCCTTGCAGCCAAAGCTAGGTGCCGGCTAATCACACTCCCTGGGGACGCCCATGTTTAAGCTTTGACAAGGGACAAACGACACCAGTTCAACTATTTGGCAGCGTGCCTGCTCGGTGACCTCGTAAATGAGAACCTGTCGCATCGACTTGAACTTGCCTACCAATGAACAAGCAGTAATCGGCTTCAAGCGTGATGTCATCCATCCATGGTATTTACACTCTCGGATATTGGGCAAACAGAGGGAGCTGATGGAAAAACGCAAGAAGAGACACTCAGATTGGCGCGGATCAATATATACGTTGCCCTTTTTCCAAAGCATCACACGGTGATAGGCTTTGCGACGCGCCCATTGAGAGCAACACTCGGCGTGAACGATCCAAATCAAAGGCGGGGCAACAATGACAAGCACAGCGGGTGAGATCAACCCGCTGTTGGCCGCACATTTCATGCGGCGCCATGTGCCTCATCCTGAATCTCAGCTAGATGGCCCTTTAGGGTGGCAGCTGCAAACATGCCCGTGCCTCTCTTCCCACCAAGTCACTCTGTGTTGGCAAACCAGCAAAACACATTGCCCGATTCTCAGCCGACACATACTATAGCACAGCATCACGCATCGCCTCCCAAAAAGGGCAACTCGTGACAGGCCTTGTCCATGCAAGGAAGTCAAAACTACCACCTTTGTGCCCGCGGCAACTGCCATGCCCACCTCCTCAAAGCGCTTCACCCATGGTTACGCGTGTACTTCGAAGATGAAGTAGACACACGCGTTGCAACTCTGAAATGCTTCAGCTAGGATCTACCCTGACACGCTTAACTTCTTAGGCAAGCGCTTGCGAGGCCGGGGTCCTCAGGCTCTCCGTCGCAGGGCACCCGCGTAGCAGAGGACATTTGCCCATTGCTGGGCTGACGCCAGATGCCCTTGGGGCAGTCTGGCAGATTGCAAATCATGTACACTTGGACAGGAGGCGAACAAAAAAAGAACCCCTGAGCGTTTCCAACTGACATGTTCAACAAATGATTCTGGAATGCCTCCTGTTCAAGATCTCCTGTTCCAGATCTCCGGTCCTTGCTGATCTTTGGAACACGCCCTGATCAGCAGGAACTGGTCTTTGCTGATCTGTTCCAACACCAGGATCTTCGATGCATCGCATTCGTGGCCCGAAAAACTAGTGCCAAGGCACAAGGGTGGGTCAGTGCCTCACAGCAGCAGCTTTTCGCTGAGCCGCACGTCCTTCGAGGAGGAGCACACTTCCAGCAGCACCTCCCCTGCTGGCGGCGCCACCCAAGCGCCTCAGGCACTGTGCACATTGGAATAAGACTTCAATAGTTTGCTGGAACAGCCTGCCTAAGCGCAAAGAGGTTGGCTAAAGAATGCCCGCAAGGCTGACAAGCTGCAACAGGGTTCAAATGAAGCTGTCTTTAGGCAAGCGCAGAAGTACTGAGGAGGCGATTGCTTCACTTGGCAAGAAAACACAGCTCAAAATTGAACCATTTGCCTTGTATTGCTTGCAAAATTGCCCAAGCGGTCTGCTCAAATAGAAGCCGCTTGCAAGCTACGAAGCTACAGGGATGGTGTGCCTGCCCGCCTTGTGCTTCGTCATAGTATCCCCCCAGGCTCCGCCACGGGAGATGAAGGTGGACCTGGCGACGTCATCCCTGTCTAGCCCTCCTAATGTTGGCTTCTTTTTGACACCATCGCCAATAACTCCCTCTCTCCCCCCCCTCATTTTGAGACACGGCCATTTTGAGAACACTGCAATCTCCGAGGAGCACGACATCTTATTTATGTCTTCGCACGGCCAATTTCAAAGCAAGACCTGCAATCAGAACGAAAGCCTCATGCCCCGTGAGTTGCTATCTGACGGGGTCCCTGGTGTCTTCCACCTCGGAAGGCAATCTGCAAAGTCCCGCCTTGACCTTTTGCTGCGGCTCCAGGACGGCAGTGCGCGCGAAGGCACGCAAAGCCCGTGGCGCCTTTGGAGCCGTCACATAGACCTGGCGCAATGCTGCCACGCTGTCGGTAGGAACAGGATTGAGTCACACATGTCCCACACACCCACACCTGCCCCGCGTCTTCCTCACATGAAAAACTAGCTGCAACGAGGTCTGCAAGCCCCTCACATGAATTTGTTGACAATTCCGGTCGCGAACCTTGATCTGTGTGTCTTTGTGCCCCCGCGCTGCAAATTCAGCCACTGACAAATGGAGTCGCTTGACCAGTCAAAACAGGACAAACTGTTTGGCAGGGAAACCATCTGGTCCAAAGAGCTCAAAGTACACCAACCCACAAGTTGAGAGGTTGGCCAGCCGTACAGAACTTCCCAAATGTCCAAAGAAGCTGACCAACTGGCTGCTGCCTTGACTGAAGCTTCTCCGAACCGAGATTGGAGTTTTCTCCATCCCGCGCCTGCACCACTTCTGCTGCAGCAGAGGTGCCTACATTCTGGACCTGCCAGCGCAAGCGGACGCTTGGCAAACAGAGCTAGATCTTGGTCTTTGGCGAACTCTATCAACACGAACACCAAATTGATGAACAAATTGATGAATCTGCTTGCAAGAACTGCTTGACGCATCTTGACGCATGTTGATGCCCTACTCTCAGGGGAGCCTTCCACACGGCAAGCTCACTGTGCCTCCAGTGTGGCTGTGGCGGAGCTCAAGGTGGCAAGCTCCACCTGGGTCGGGGCATTGGCCGGTTGACCGTTCAATCCCCCTGTCGACTAGACCTGTCTCAAAGCTTAGCAAATCGTCTTTTGAATTCCCTAACCCAAGCAGGGGGCGAGAGGCACAGTCTGCGGGGACAAGCGTGCATCTGCCCTTCGATAGATGATATCGATCTGCACATGATTAGTGCTTGCTCTCTTGCTTGAGAGTGCGTCCTTCCTTGGTTAGCATTTTCCAGGCTGTTCACAACAGTTGATATGCTAGCAAACAGCCGTGTCAGCCTTGTAAACAGGCACCGGCTGTGACGAACGTTCATGGGCAAATGCCAACCACTCCAAGCACAGCAAGTCCGGGTTTCGCGTTCAACTGGGCTCTGGCGATACCCGGCTTCCGAAACCATGCCTGAAGGTCGCTGTACTCAAATCGAGTGTATGTCAGCCTTGGCTTGCTGACAACAAAGTGGAACCTGTTCGCAAAGCCCTCTGGAAGTACCTCCATTGAAGAAACTGCCATTGTCCCATCGGTTCTGACCCAAATCCTTTTGCACACCAAAGAGCCCAAAGCCGAAGGGGAAGGCAAACTCCATTTGGCTGCGATAGCCCAGGTGTAAACCTTCGTGATACACCACGTCGCCTCAGCGAGAAGCTGACTCTCTCTCTCTCTCTTTTTCTCTCTCGCTCTCTCTCTCTCTCTCGCTCTCTCTCTCTCTCTCTCTCTCTCTCTCTCTCTCTCCCCTTGCACAGTTGTTGTTGCTCAACACTGAGCCAAAGATGTGTTCTCTGCTATGCTTCGTTTCACACTCATCCTTCAAATGCTTCCATTACAAGAAACTGTTTCTGATGAGCTTGGCGGTACGATTTCTCGACTTCTGAGTCACTGGCCATGGCGAATCGTGCCTCCGGCTGCCAAGATCGCCTTCTCTGCAGAGTGCTTGGCCGCCTCGGAGGATGCCTCGGGCCAAATGACACTTCTGACGGAATCTCTCCAGGTCTTTTCTGCATCAAGCTGGATGCCACTTTGTCCTGTGGGCTGCACAGGAGATGGGAACTGTCGTTCTCAGTCTCCCCTCCTGGTTCCTCTGATATGTCACGTCAGCGGACAAGAACACATATGTTCATATGTCCCGAAAACAATGCATGATATGGTCTTGACCTTGTCTGGGTGCAGCCAGACTGCTTCCTCCAAGCACTTGGGCCAGCTGGTAGGCAGCCGTCCAGAGGGCGATGCCCCCAGAAGCGCAGCAGCCACTGCCTCCCCGGTGCATTCGCCCCCGTAGTACGACCTGACGGCTTGTCAATGAATAAAGTGGTGTGAGGGGTCAAAAGAGCTGGCAAAGGTTGCGCATCAAGAACATGGCTGCCTGCTTTCAATGAATTATTGTGCAGTGCACGTCAGCAATTTGCGAGTAAGCTCCAGGCAGCAACACTGCAGGGACGTCAGCAAGCCAGGGAATTTCCTGCCATCACAAGCCATGGCTTGGCAAGCCAGTATAATATTCAGTGTCGCACCAAGACCATGCATCACATTGCATGGACCCATGATATGCAAGTCCTCTCATATTTCACTTCCCTCATGGAGCTTCCTCTTGTCATCAGGATGCATTGGGCAACGCAGGAAAGCCCCTAGGGCTGCTCAGGGACTGCCTCCCATGTTCCGCAATCAGGTCAGCGGTCGGGGTCCTTGGGGCTGCCGACGTTGAGCACCACCACCAAGGGCTTGCCCTCCGCTTTGGCGCGCACGGCGCAGCGCCGGGCCAGCTCGTCCTCCGAAGGGCTCAAGTCGTTTCCCCCCTTGGCCTCAAGTCATAGCCGCTGTGTTTTTGCGGGGTCAATGTTTCACGCATCGCTTGGACCTCTCAGCGAATGGTGTGCGACTGCAGCAAGAACGAGACACCGCTCAACTCCCAAGGCTGAAGTCCTGAAGGCCAGGCAGGCGCATGTGCGGCTGGTCCACACCCTCACACTCCCAGAAGCCATCGGTGCCTGGACGGTACGTGACCATCTGATGCGTTGCCGCTTGCAAAATACGTTCTCGTTTGCAGCGTGCCTGCCCAGGCAGTCTGGCTCAACAGTTGAGTCCGGTTTGGGAATAGCGCTTCGCTTCCATCCCAAACTGTTGCATTCGCCGGCTGCGAATAGATGGTACGAGCCCCTGGGCATGCCAAGGCTAACACCCATTCCGGCTCTCACTGCGATATGCCTGCAAACGAAAAAAAAGAAGAGAGTAGTGAGGCTGCAAATAACCACCGGATCCACCAGATCCACCAGTTTTCGAATTGAGAACGAAAAGCCTCCAACTCAGCCAGCCAAGCCATCGCCTAGGACCATCACCGCGGCGTCGCACTCAGAGACCAGCTGCTCGGCGCGGTTCATGGACTTTGCTTCCCTTGCCTTGGCCTGGCTCACAACACATTCGGCGGTTCCCATTTGGGTTCCGGGATCGGTTCTATCTGGAAGTCTGTCGATAGCG